AGGACTCAGGAGGAGAAGGCAAAGGGGCACGCAGAGGAGCAGTGGACAGACGTAAAGACATCCGGTGCGTGCCAGGGACAGGAGGAGGACGCTGAAGCGAACTGCGACCACTAGCGCGAGCAGCACGAACAGGCGACGCGGGACGAGACGCAGGCTCACGACGCTCAGCAAGACCTCCAGTAGGACCAGTGTAAGGAGAGGGAGCAGGCAGCGGAGAGGAAGGCTCCAGTAGGGGCTGCGACTGGACAGGCGGTGGACCCTCTACTGGAGGAGAAAGACCAAGAACCTGCTGAAGGAGCGGAACGAAGTACGGCCGAGGCCGCGCGGCAGCTCCAGACTCTGCAGGGACAGCACCAGCACCCTCAGCGACAGCACCAGCGCCACCCACACCTCCAGCGGCAGGACCAACAGCAGCAGGCTCAGCACGAACGCCCTCAGCAGCTCCAGCTCCAGGAGGACCTGCAGGTCCAGCAGCTCCGGGACCGGCTGCACCCGCACCCTCGACGGTCGAAGAAGCTCCAGCTCCAGCTCCAGCAGCACCTCCAGACTCAGCAGCACGCCTCCAGCGGCGAGCGAACCACTCGCGCAGCTCCTGTGGAGAGAGGGGCTCCCGGCGAGACGCAGCAGCAGGAGAAACCCCAGGCTCAGCAGCTCCAGACGCAGCACCCCCAGGCTCAGCAGCTCCCAGCTCAGCACCCCCAGGCTCAGCAGCTCCCGACCCAGCACCCCCAGACCCAGCACCTCCAGGCACAGCACCCCCCGGCTCAGCACCCCCAGGCTCCGCACCCTCCGCAGTAGCACCCTCAGGCCCAGCACCCCCAGCAGTAGCACCCCCAGGCTCAGCACCCCCGCGCACAGCACCCCCAGAGTCAGCACCCCCAGGCTCAGCACCCGCAGCAGCACCAGAGTCACCAGTAACCTCGACCGGGTCAACGGCGTCTACCTGGGACACACCTGAGGGGGCAGGAACCTGAGGGGGGAGGGGGTCTACCGGGGGGGGAACCGGCACAAGGAAGTCCGGGGGAGGGGGGAGGGAAGGAGTGCGGTAGGGGAAGAGACGGTAGAAGGGGACTGACTCGTCGAACGTGACGTCCTGGGAGGACAGAACACGACGAGAGGAGGGGTGGTAAAACTGCCACCCTGGGGCGTCAGTGGGGAAGCCAAGGAAGACACAGGGAGCAGCACGAGGGGACAGCTTGTCCGCAGACAAGTCGCGGACAAACGCCCGAGATCCCCAGACACGGAACACAGACGCATCGCCAACCTTCCCCGTCCACAGCAAGGCTGGGGACATCGCTGGCCGAGAGACCCGGGGGTGAAGGTTGAGCTGATGCGCCGCGTACCTCACCGCAAACGGCCACAGAAAATGGGGGGCAGCCGCATGCATCATGGACGTACGAGCGACATCCATGACCATGCCAATGCGGCGCTCAGCAATCCCATTTTGCTGTGGTGAGTCCGGAAGCGTGAAGGTCTGGCGGATCCCCCGTGCACGACAGTAGTCTCGCAGAAGGCGAGAAGAGAACTCTCCGCCTCTGTCAGAGTGCAGACGCAGAACAGGAAAGTCCGAGCCGAAGCTCTTCCTGAGCTGGAGACGAGCCTCGCGGATCCAGTCGATCAGCACCTCAGTGACCGCACCCTTGCTGCGCAAGGGGAGGACTGTGGTGTAACGCGAGTAGTCGTCAACCACCAACAGGAAGTAGCGCTCGTAACCCTGCCCACGGACGGGGGCTGGGCCCCACACATCCATGTGAAGCGTCTGCAGGGGAGCCTCTGTCGGGGGGAAGTGGGAGGAGTGAGGAGTAGCCCGGAGGCGACCCTCAACACAGGGGACACAGGAAGGTCCTGGCCCGGAGGGGAGAGGAGGGAGAGACTGGGGAAGACCAGAGACAAGGACACGGGAAGCCACTCTCCGAAGACGGGGCAAGGAGGGGTGGCCAAGACGGTGGTGCCACAGGAGAGTCTCGTGAGACAGGAGGCGACAAGAACAGGGGGCAGACTCAGGACCTGACCGGGACGCAGCAGCAAGTACCTGACCCGACGCAGCCACCTGACCAGACGCAGGGACAGGAGGAGACTCAACGGTCAGGGTGTAAAGACTCGACCCCGGCCGACGTGAGAACGTGGCCAGGTGTCGGCCTGTGCGAGCCTCCGTGCAGTGGGTCACCCTCTGACGCGCAGGAGTGAACTGGTGAACACCCCCATCCTGCAGGTCCGCTCCACTCACCAAGTTCGTAGAGAACGAGGGAAGGTACAGACCCGACAGGGTGCCCGAAGGGGCAGCCGGACACGGGAGGACAGTGGAGAAGTGAGACAGGACAGGACCCCCAGAGGGGTCAGCAAGGGAGACCGCAACCGGCCTGGCGAGCGGCGAAAGGGTAGTGCGGTCTCGAAAGAAGGAGCGAGAAGCTCCGGAGTCAAGTGTGAAAGTGAGGGAGGACGAGGACGACTCAGTACCTGAGAGCGCAGTCTCACCAGTACCTGAGAGCGCAGACGCACTGGCACCTAGAGCAGCAGCCTCACAAGCACCTAGCGCAGCAGTACCAATGCCCGGGTCGGGCTGAAAACACCGGTAACCCTCAGTCTCCTCACTATAATCCACAACATACATAGCAGTAAGGATAGCATCAAAATCAAGATCAAAGATCGCTACACCAGCCCTGAGAAGCTCATCCCAGCGAGGGATCTCACTAGCCCCAGGGAACTGCTGACGCCAAGCGTCCGTCAGGCGGCCAAAGCAGCGCTGGGTGGCGTGGGCACCCCCACACTGCTCACCCGCGCGGTCGCCGGAACGAAGAACGTAGGTGCAGGGACCAGTACCCCCACCCCTCTGACGCCCATCGTACCACTCACGAAGCTGCTGAGGCGAAGGGATGTCCCGCGAGCGCTGCTGCTGCTGCCGGTGCGAGCGCTGGCCACCACCACCGCCGCTACGCTGCTGGGTACCACCCCGACCAGCTCCACCTCCACCACCACTAGTGCCTCCTCCGCTGCCGCCTCCACTGCCTCCACCTCCGCCGCCTCCACCTCCGCCGCTGCCTCCACCACCACCGCTGGCACCACCACCACCGTCTCCGCCGCTGCTGCCGCCACCACCACCACCACCCCCGCCACTAGCCCCGCCGCCACCCCCACTCCCTCCGCCGCCACCGCCGCCACCGCCACCGCCCCCTCCAGCTCCACCCGCGCCCTTGCCCCCCTTGCCCTTGCTGGAGCGACGTCTCTCACTAGGGGCAGACGCCGCGCCGACCGACTCAAGACCAAGCAGGTCGGCAGCAGCAGCAGAGGCAACAGAGGGCAGCAAGGGGGAAGGAGAGCACCCCTCAAAGATGGGGGTGCGAGGGTCACCACGAGAAGCACCTACAGCGACTATGCTCTTCTCCGCTGCAAGGAGGGCCTTCTCGAGGAGGTCGACGGTGAGAGTGGTGGGACAGACTGCGAGAAAGTGGTCCCTGACGACGCGAAGGGAGTCAGGGAGGCGTGCGACTACGTAGTAGAGAGCGATGTACATGGGGGGGGGGTTCTTAGCGCAGAACTCAGCAGGAAGGGCGGCGCGGTAGCGAGTGTCACTAGTGCGGAGGTGCGTAATGAGGTCAGCGACAGTGGGAAAGGCAGAGAGGTCAGGAAAGAGGTAGGGAAGCATGAGACGGCTTAGTGCAGCAGTGGCAGGGGAGGAGTAGCGCGCAACTACAGCGTCGTACAAGGTCTGAGCACTCTTGTACTGACTAAAGTGCGCACGCTCAGAGGTAGGGAGGTGGCGACGCACAGCAAGACGTGCAGCAGCATCGCGGGTGGCCCACTTAGAGCGGACAGCGGGATCAGCATCAGCAGCAGGGGCAGGAGAGGCGCCAGAGGTGAGGTCAAAGAGAGAAAGGTCGTCAGCCCTGTCGCACTGTAAGAACAGCTGCAGGTCGTCTAACCAGACCTCAAAATCAATGGCGCGACCCTCAGCGTCAAAAGCTAGGACACTAGGGGTAGCCATGGTGACGACAGCGACGCAGTGCAAGCAGTGGGGAAAGAGCTCGCAGTGTCAGTGGGACAGTGCTCACCAGGCAGGGCAGGTCGTGCAGTCAGCAGAAAGGCGGCTCAGCGACTGGGCGGCTCGGGTGCACAGCTGCTCGGCTCCCGGGCGGCTCGGGCGGCTGGGCGGCTCGGGCGCAGGGCGGCTCGGCTCCCGGGCGGCTCGGCGGCTGGGCAGCTAGGGTGCAGGGCGGCTCGGCTCCCGGGCGGCTCGGCGGCTGGGCGGCTCGGGTGCAGGGCGGCTCGGCTCCCGGGCGGCTCGGCGGCAGGGCGGCTCGGGTCCCGGGCGGCTCGGCTGCTGGGGCGGCTCGGCCGGGAGATGCAGCGTCGGGCCGGCAGGTGCAGCGTCGGGCCGGCAGGTGCAGCGGCGGGCCGGCAGGTGCAAGTGGCGGGCCGTAAGAGGCGGCGGGCCAATGGGTGCAGCGGCGGGCCGGTAGGTGCAGCGGCGGGCCGGCAGGAGCAGCGGCGGGCCGGCAGGGTGCAGCGGCGGGCCGGGAGGAGCAGCGACGGGCCGGCAGGGTGCAGCGGCGGGCCGTAGAGTGCAGCGGCGGGGCCGTCGGCAGCAGAGGCGGGGCCGCGTCAGAGGAGGCGGCGTGGCCGCGTCAGGGGAGGCGGCGGGGCTGCGTCAATGGAGGCGGCGGGGCCGCGTCAGGGGAGGCGGCGGAGTCGCGTCAGGGGAGGCGGCGGGGCCTCGTCAGGGGAGGCGGCGGGGCCGCGTCAGGGGAGGCGGCGGGGCCGCGTCAAGGGAGGCGGCGGGGCCGCGTCAAGGGAGGCGGCAGGGCCGCGTCAGGGGAGGCGGCGGGGCCGCGTCAGGGGAGGCGGCGAGGCCGCGTCAAGGGAGGCGGCTGGGCCGCGTCAGGGGAGGCGGCAAAGCCGCGTCAGAGGAGGCAGCGGGGCCGCGAGTGAAGAGGCGACCCGAGGGGTCGCTTAAAAAAAAGGGCGCGCCTCGGGGCGCGCGTCGGTGGGCCCAGACAAAGGTCCTAAGGTAGGACCCGCTCTATACCATGTGAGAATAGGAAAACAGGAATGAATGAACTATGAATGAAAGCAGTACAAGTATGAAACCCTAACTGGGTTGTACCCCCTATGGGATACCCCACTACAGCCTACACAGCAGTATAAGCTATAGATATGTTCTGACAGGACCGGGATCTGCCACATCCGCTTGTGGACATCCCCTTTCCACTGCAGGTCCCAAATCAGCCGCTCATCGTTGTAGGCATGATAGCGCTCCAAGCCAATCGTCTCGGTGTTCACACCCGCATCTCCCAACTGGCCGGTAGAAATTAGGTTCGCACACAAGTCCGGCACCCACAGCACATTCTTCAGCCCCACGAGCTCTCCATCCGCTACCATGAACTTGGCGCACCCCATGCCCATGACCTTGGCCTTGGCGCCCGTCGCGGATGTGACTGTAGAGATGGGTGCGGGCTGAATCTCATCAAGTAGGTCCGCACGAGGAGTCATGTGCCAAGAGCTCCCGGAGACAATCACCCAATGGGTGAGTGGGTGTAGGAGAACCTTGGCAGCCATAGCGTGGTCGGTTGCGTCTTCGTTCACGAAGAAGAAGAACCCGGCCTTCCGCTCCTCAGATTTGCCGCCTTTCTCCTCATCCTTCTCCTCTCCACTAGCTCCCATGACTCCCCCACTCCTCGTGCCACCACGCTGGTTGTTTGATGAAGGCGGGGTCCAATCCTTGGGTCGTTGGTAGCACTTCCGCCAACGATTTCCGCGCTTCTTGCAGTAGAAGCACACCTCCCCTTGACCCCCGCCGCCATCCTCCTTAGGGTTATCCTTGTTCTTGCCCTTCCACTTCTTCTTGAAGCTACTCTTTCCACCTCCAACTCCATAGCCAGCCCACTCCTCCGAGCGCTCCACACTCTGCCGCCGCAGGTCCTCCTCCAGGATGCGCGCGCGAATGTAATCCACGCTCCATTGGGGTTGTTGGGAGTTGAGGTTGATCGCTAGGGCAGACCATGACTCCGGCAGCCGTATCACGATCTCCACGCATTGCACGAGCTCCGGGTACACCACACCGCCTCCTTGGAGCTTTGTAAAGATGTCGCGCATCTCATCCAACACCGGTTTGAGAAGAAGCAAACGAGAGAATGAGTGAACTATGAACGAGGTGAGTACAAATAGGAAACCCTAATTGGGTTGTACCCCCTATGGGATACCCCACTATAGCCTACACAAATAAATAAGCTATAATGTTCTGACACACCCCCATAGGCAAAGTGGGGGAGAACAAGGGGTCACAAGACCAGTCAAGCAAAGCAAAGCAAAGCTCAGGGTGGATCACAAAGTCACCACACATTCCGAGCACAAGTTCAAAGGCCAGAAGGCCAGTTCACAGGCAAGATCATATATAGAGATATACAAGAGGCAAGCAAGCAAGAGCAAGAGTATATATAGGTAAAAGTACAAGCAAGGTCAAGAAGTGAGCAAGTGAGGCAAGGCAGGCACAAGGCCCAGCTGCGTGCAGCAGCGCTGATGATCACAAGGCGCAAGTGCCTTGGTGAAGACATCAGCAGTGTTGGCCTCAGAGGCCACGTACGCAAGTCGCAGCTGTCCACGCTGCTGTAGCTCACGAGCAAGAAAGTAGCGGAGAGCAATGTGCTTTGTCCTGTGCTCCAGTCGCTGCTCTCAACACAAGGCCAGCATAGCCTTGTTGTCTACGTACAGGACTAGAGGAGAACGAGGCGGCTCTCCAAGGTCGGTCAGCAGGTAGGTGAGCCAGCGTAACTCCTGTGCAGCCATGGCCCCGGCGTAGATCTCAGCCTCACAACTGGAGCCGAGAACAGAAGACGAGCGGGTAGCCCGCCACGAAACAGAGCCGGAACCAAGACTGAAGGTGTAACCCTGTGACGACCGCTGCGTAGCCTGGTCGTCAGCCCAAGAAGCGTCTGCGTGCCCAGTGAGGACCACTGGACTGCGCCCTCCAAGCACTAGCCCCATGCCCGACGTACTGCACAAGTAGCGCAACACCCTCTTCGCTGCAGCCATGTGCTCTGGTCGGTGTCTCCCAGGACCAACATAGCGTGCAAGAATGCTCAGAGGGTATGCAAGGTTAGGTTGTGTGCAGGTCATCAGGTACATGAGGCAGCCAACAAGCTCTGCATACGGGCCACTCGACTCTACGGACTCATCCGAAGGCAGAGCTGAGAGCGAGTGGCGAGTAGGCAGAGGAGTGGCCTGAGGCGAGGAGTACGTGAAGCCGAAGCGCTGAAGGACCTGCTGCACCATGTGTGACTGAGTCAGGGTAATGGTGCGGCGTGCTCTGTCCCGGGTGATCTGCAAGCCAAGGTAGCTGCGCAGTTCACCCAGGTCAGTGCACGTGTGTCTCTTCTGCAGCTCGGACTTCACGTAGGCGAGTTCAGCAGTGTCAGCTGTGGCAAAGACCAAGTCGTCGACGTACACGAGGATGTAGAACGGCGGCAGAGAGGTGTCGGTGCGCAGAAACAGCGACGGGTCTGCAGTGGAGGGAGCAAACCCAAGTGCCGCCAGCGTAGTCCTCAGTGTGTCGTGCCACTCACGCGGCGCCTGGCGGAGACCGTAAACTGGACGCCGGAGACTCCACTGGGTACCAGGAGGGAAAGACCCAGTGAAGCCAGGTGGGCGACGCAGCCAGATCTCCTCGTGCAGGCTGCCTAGCAAGAAAGCAGTGCTGAAGTCGAGAGAGTGCAGCTCCTAGTCACGGTGAGCAGCAACGTGCAGCAGTACCCGAAGAGTGGTCATCTTCGGGGTGGGGGAGAAGGTCTGAAAGTAGTCAACTCCCTGCCGCTGACTGAAACCACGAGCCACGTACCGCGCCTTGAAGACAGGCGGAGAACCCGGCGGCCGCTTCACCCTGAAGATCCACATGCCACTGACGATGTTCGCCCAGGGAGGGGGAACAGCGTCAACGTAGGTGCCTGTGGACTTCCAGGAAGCCATCTCTGCATCCATAGCTGCCTGCCACTGAGAGGAGTAGAGACCCTCTATCGCCTCCGCGTAAGAGCGCGGAGTCGGGATGTCTAGTGCATCCGGGTCTCCCTTAGGGGCTAGCACTACAGACGCGAGATGAGGTGAAGCGGCGGCCAGACAGTGGAACTCCTCCTGCCTGTCCTCAAGGACGTCCGTGCCAAGGGCACACTCACCCCCGACGGACGGAGGACAGGTAGACTCAGACTCAGCGACAAGACCAGCAGCGAAGTCTAGACGACAGCGCGCAGCAAAGTCGACGAGCTCAGTGACAAGGGCAGACGCAGCAGAAGACTCGAAAGAAGGGCCAGTGACAGCAGTAGCAAGGAGACGCGTGACAGTAGGACTGGCAGCACGAAGAGAGTCCGACTCCGGGTCGGCAAGAGCAGGAAGAGAGGAAGAAGGAGGAGAAGGCAAAGGGGCACGTAGAGGAGCAATGGACGGACGCAGAGACATCCTGTGCGTGCCAGGGACAGGAGGCGGATGCTGACGCGAACCGCGACCACTAGTGCGCGCAGTACGAACAGGCGACGCAGGACAAGACGCAGGCTCACGACGCTCAGTAAGACCTCCAGTCGGACCAGCGTAGGGAGAAGGAGCAGGCAAAGGGGAGGCAGGCTGTAGCTGTGACTGGACAGGCTGTGGACCCTCTAAGGGAGGAGGAGGAGGACCAGGAGAAGGTGGAAGACCAAGAACCTGCTGCAGGAGCGGTACGAAGAACGGTCGGGGCCGCGTGGCGGCGCCAGAAACAGCAGGGACAGCACGAGTACCCCCAGCAGGAGTACCCGCTCCAGCAGCACCTCCAGCAGTACCTCCAGTAGCTCCAGAACCCCCAGCAGCTCCTCCAGTAGCCCCAGAACCTCCAGCAGCACCAGGAGCACCGCCAGTCGAACCACCAGTGGTAGTCTCAGCGCCAACACCCTCAGCAGCACCAGCTCCAAGCGAACCCGCAGGCCCAGCAGCTCCAGTACTCCCAGTACGAGCACCTCCAGGACCCGCGGCAGCAGCACCCTCAGCAGCAGAAGAACCTCCACCACCAGCAGCACGCCTCCAGCGCCGAGCAAACCACTCACGCAGCTCCTGTGATGAGAGTGGCTCTCGGCAAGAAGAAGCACCCGGAGAACCTCCAGGCGAAGAACCTCCAGGCTCAGCACCCCCAGGCAAAGCACCTCCAGGCGTAGCACCCCCACGCTCAGCACCCCCAGGCTCAGCACCCCCAGGCTCAGCACCCCCAGGCTCAGCACCCCCAGACTCAGCACCCCCAGACCCCGCACCCCCAGGCTCAGCACCCCCAGGCACAGCACCCCAGGCTCAGCACCCACAGCAGCACCAGAGTCACCAGTGACCTCGACCGGCTCGACCGCGTCTACGTGGGACACACCTGAAGGGGCAGGACCCTGAGGGGGGAGGGGGTCTACCGGGGGGGGACCTGGTACCAAGAAGAGCGGGGGTGGGGGGAGGGACGGAGTGCGGTAGGGGAAGAGGCGGTAGTAGGGTACCGACTCGTCGAACGTGACGTCCTAGGAGGACAGAACACGGCGAGAGGTGGGGTGGTAGAAGTGCCACCCAGGGGCGTCGGGGGGGAACCCCAGGAAGACGCAGGGAGCAGCGCGAGGGGACAGCTTGTCCGCAGACAAGTCGCGGACAAACGCCCGAGATCCCCAGACTCGGAACGCCGACGCATCGCCAACCTTCCCCGTCCACAGCAGAGCTGGGGAGGTCTGCGGCCTGGAGACCCTGGGGTGGAGGTTGATCTGATGCGCCGCGTACCTGACAGAAAACGGCCACAGAAAATGGGGAGCAGCCGCATGCATCATAGACGTACGAGCGACGTCCATGACCATGCCAATGCGGCGCTCTGCAATCCCATTTTGCTGCGGTGAGTCCGGAAGCGTGAAGGTCTGGCGGATGCCTCGCGCACTACAGTAGGCACGCAGAAGGCCAGAGGAGAACTCTCCGCCTCTGTCCGAGTGCAGACGCAACACAGGAAAGTCCGAGCCAAAGCTCTGCCTGAGCTGGAGACGAGCTGCGCGGATCCAGTCGATCAGCACCTCAGTGATATCACCCTTGCTGCGCAAGGGGAAGACTGTGGTGTAACGCGAGTAGTCGTCAACCACCAACAGGAAGTAGCGCTCGTGACCGAGTCCACGGACGCGGGCAGGGCCCCACACGTCCATGTGAAGCGTCTGCAACGGAGCCTCTGTCGGAGGAAACTGGGAGGAGTGAGGGGCAGCCCGCTGGCGCCCCTCGACACAGGCAGGGCCGGGGCCCTGAGGAAGGGGAGGGAGGGACCTGGGGAGACCAGACACAAGAAGACGGGAGGCCATGCCTCTGAGCCGAAGCAGAGAGGGGTGGCCAAGGCGGTGGTGCCAGAGGAGGGTCTCGTGGGACAGACGGCGACACGAGCAGGGGGCAGACTCAGGACCAGACCTGGACGCTGCAGCAAACACCTGACCAGACGAAGAGACCCTACCAGACTCAGCACCTGGAGGAGAAGCAGTGGTCAGTGTGTACAGGCTCGACCCTGGCTGACGTGTAAACGTAGCGAGGTGGCGACCTGTGCTAGCCTCTGTGCAGTGTGTCACCCGCTGACGAGCAGGAGTGAACTGGTGGACACCCGCATCCTGTAGGTCAGCACCACTCACCAGGTTTGTAGAGAACGAGGGGAGGTAGAGACCAGTCAGGGTGCCAGAGGGAGCCGCCGGACACGGGAGGACTGTGGAGAAACGAGACAGGACAGGACCCCCAGAGGGGTCAGCCAGGGACACCGCAACCGGCCAAATAAGCGGCGTGAGAGTAGTGCGGTCCCGAAAGAAGGAGCGAGATGCTCCAGAGTCAAGGGTGAAGGTGTGAGAGGCCGAAGCCGACACAGTACCTGAGAGTGCAGACTCACTGGTACCTGCGAGCACAGACGCACTGGCACCTAGAGCAGCAGCCTTACTGGCACCTGACACAGCAGTACGAATGCCCGAGTCGAGCGGGAAACACCGGTAACAGTCACCCTCATCACTAACAGTCACAGCATACATGGCAGCAAGGATAGCATCATAGTCAAGATCAAAGATAGCTACACCAGCCCTAGACAGCTCTCCCCAGCGGGGGATCTC